GCCACTTTAAACCCCTCCAATCCATACATGAAGCAAACTGACACCCACCATGAAGATGAGGCACGACCACGAACGCAAAGCCAAACAATAGCAATGCAGCGCACCATCTCACATCCCCGTGCAACTCAGACTAACCTGAGCACGACAAAGCCCCCACCCAAACAGAACACTCCCTCAACCAATCAGAGCCCAGCCAACCCCCCATCCAATCAGAGCACAGCCAACCCCCCATCCAATCAGAAGCACAGCCAAGCTCCTAACCAATCAGAACACACCTCCATCCAATCAGAACACAGCCAAGCTCTCCTCCAATCAGTTCATACCCCCACTGGCAGTTAAAAGGAAGAAATAGCTACGATCACACATTGCTCCTAGAAGCACGAAGCTGAAAACACCAGCCTGATAATGAATGAGACTTCGTCGAAATGTCGCCAAGACACTTCCAATTTGACGCGGGAGAAAACCCGAATAACCAAAGACCTACATACAAATACCCACAAAAACCTCAGAAAACAAATATTGTACCTCTACGGGGAGGATATCCACCATCTGACCAGGACCTATGAAAAACTCAAAGTCCAAAGAGCTTCCATTTTTTGTGACCTCGCATTCCTATGCAACTGCCGAGATCAAAATTTAATCCCCACAGGATTCCAATTGAAATTCCACTCCAACTCTGCAGCCACCAAACGCATCCTGAAAAGAACAGAACTGGCCCTAATCAGAAATGAACTTCACACAAAAAGATTCCTCCTAGACCGAATCAACAAAGATCTCCTCACACTTCACCTCAAACTCAGCAACAAGATCCCTCAGCAATTGGGACAAATCCAAACAACTCGCCGTCTGGAGAGCCAAAACATAGACCACCCTCAAGACAGACACACACACCAACAAACTCCGAAGACTACAAGAATGCCAGAAACAAACTTTGCAGTCGCTCCCAAACACATCCCCACTGAAACCATTATATGCGGAGTTGAAACCAGCCTGACCAAAATCAACCCCGACGACGCGAACAAAATCAGACTCGAAATCACCAACATCCTCTGCACCAGCAAGCCACCCAAAAGCAACTTACCCAAAGAGGAACAGACAGCACTACTTAACCTGAAAGAAGACACCAGCAGAATAATCTTACCAGCAGACAAGGGCAATGCCACGGTGGTTATGAACACATCTGACTACCAAACCAAATTAACCAACCTACTCCAAGACTCTACATACAAACCCCTAAACACAGATCCCACCACCTACCTGGAAAAAACCACCAGATCCAAAATAAAAGCCTCCCCCATTAGCGAAGAGATCCAGCAAAAAAATCATTCCCAGAGAGAAATCATCCAGATGCCCTAAGCTCTATGGTCTCCCCAAGATGTTGTTGTTCGTCCATCGATTTTGATGAAGACCTTGACATCTTGTGGGTTATGGGCCATCAACGATGTGTCCGTAGGTGGCTAATAAGACCAATTGTGTATCCCCAAGATACACATAGAAGGAACCCCACTTAGACCCATAGTCAGCTCCATAGGCTCACCTCTACAAAATCTAGCCAAATTTCTCGCTAAACAACTACAGCCCTATGCAGAATCCATCATCTCACACATAAAAAACTCATTCCATTTCTTAGAGATCATAAAGAAACTTACAGCCCAGCGACCTACTCGTGAGCTTCGATGTCATATCCCTCTTCACCCAAGTGCCTATCAAAGAAGCCTTGACAGCTATCCAAAACAAATATAACCCCCCCAAACACATCCTAGATCTGACCAACCACTGCCTATCCAACACATACTTCATCTCTTAACGGACAAAAATACAAACAAATAGAAGGAGCACCCATGGGATCATCCCTCTCACCTGTCATTGCAAACCTCCACATGGAACACTTTGAAACCCAAGCTCTAGAAAAATCTGATCACAAACCCAAACTCTGGCTCAGATACATAGATGACACCTTCATAATGTGGCCACATGGGAAAGAAAAACTAGACAACTTCCTCATACACCTCAACAGCCTACACCCCAAATTACAGTTCACCATGGAAACAGAAGCTAATAATCAACTTCCTTTCTGGATGTCTTAGTGTCAGAATCCAATTATATTTCATCTTTAATCATCAAGTATAGAAAACCCAATTCTGCCTTCTCTGGATTCTGCCATAAGAGGGAGAGAAGGGGGAGAACAAAGGGGCTTTATGGCCCTCACTTCCTTCAGCATACTTCTAAAGATTTGAATGTGTTTATTGCAACCTCAAAGAATGTAGTTAGCACCAAAGAACCTTACCATAACAAAGGGGCTATTTACCTTTCATGTAGTTTATCTGAAGTCTCCATCCAGACGGAAGAAAGGAGCAAAGGGGTGGAATTGTGATGCATGAAACTATCACTGGAAGGGGGGGTGATTGGGTGGGACTGCTGGGGAACCCCTTAAAATCTTGAATGGGAGAGCTTGGACCCCAAGTCCTGTCTAGCACGCCTGCAACCACTTCTTAATAAAGGATTCCTGTTGGAAGATTTATTCCAAGAGTTCTGTCTTCTTAAGATGCAAAGTGGGGTGGGTCCTTACACTTAGTTTACAAGAAATCCAATGGCTCCCTAGGTTATGCAGAGAAAACCCGTATAACCAAAGACCTACATACAAACACCCGCGAAAACTTCAGAAAACGTATGTATGTATGTATTTATATATGTATGTGTGTACATACATACATACATACACACACACACATATATATATATACATACACATATATATATTTCTAAAATTTGGATTGCTAGCAAAGAATTAAGGGAGAACTGGAATAGCTATTTCGAACTCTTTAGCTCTTTTCAACCAGACATACCCTTCTGAGATTCGAACCTGGGCTGTCTGCATGTTGGCTGTGCTCTGATTGGCTGGGGGGTTGGAGCACAGCCAACCCCCCAGCCAATCAGAGCACAACCAAGCTCCTAACCAATCAGAACACACCTCTATCCAATCAGAACACAGCCAAGCTCTCATCCAATCAGTTCATACCCCCACTGGCAGTTAAAAGGAGGAAACAGCTACAACCACACATTGCTCCTAGAAGCACGAAGCCGAAAGCACCAGCCTGAAGATGACGAATGAGACTTCGTCGAAACATCGCCAAGACACTTCCAATTTTACGTGGGAGAAAACCCGAATAACCAAAGACCTACATATGTGTGTGTGTGTGTGTGTGTGTGTGTGTATAGCCATCTTCAGCATCCATTGTTCTAAGCTGCAATTAGCAGACTTGGCAAAAGGCTAAATTTCCATCTATTGTTCCAGTAAGAGCACAAGTCCAAGAAGTTTGCAGGTCTACTTTCTAAGGAGGAATGCTAGTATATTGAGAGTTAAAAATTATATAAACTAAGAATCTGAATTAATAGTTTGGGTTGAGTCTGAATTTATTATTCCTCATCCAGGTTCTGATAGCCTCTAAATGCTGGATTAAAACTTCTACTGCATCCCCCATTCAGCCTAGTCAGAAATGTATAACCAGGTAACATTGGCAATACTGATAATATTGTACTTCAAACCAGTGGATGGCCTATGTTTCTGTGTAGCTTTTAAGTAGATTAGGGAATAAAGCCATGGATAAAGTCTGACCTGTCCCTCACGTGGTAACTGGAATCTCAGTAAGATAAGTAAAGCAGTACTTCCAACTCCCAGCTTCTCTCATATTTCATGAATTTGGGCCATGAAAGCCTAAAACAGGTTTTCAGTACTGCATGATTTAAAGAAAGTACGAGTAGCTATTGAAAGGCAGCATATTCTGAAGAGTATCTACAAGGCCATAAAAGCCTATACTGGACTACAAAAAAAGAAGATAAAACCAGGTAGTACTCAGAAGAGAATTGAGAGGCCTAGTCCAATAGAGAGAAGCTCTACACTGTAAAGAGATTGGGGCTGCCCTCAAAACTCTAAGGCTTTTATTACAAATGAGTTATGTACAAGCAAGAACCACCATAGAGCTAAGTACAGGTGGTTTTGACTTATGACTGGTCACATAGCAACTGCTTGAAGTTCTGATGGATCCTCCAAAAGGTTCCAATGGCTACCCTACTGTTAGAATCCAATTATATTTCATCTCTAGTTATCAACTATGGAAAACCCCATTCCTGCCTTCTCTGGATTCTGTCATACGATGAAGGGAAGGGGGTGAACAAAGGGGCTTTATGGCCCTCACTCCCTTCAGTACACTTCAAAGAGATGGATGTGGATACCATCAAAAGGACTAACCATAACAATGGGGCTATTAGCTTTCATGTACTCCTCTCTGAAGTCTACCTCCTGTCGGCAGTGAGAGAAAGGGGGTGGGAATGTAATGCCTGGGACTGTCGCTGGAAGAAGGGGATGATGGGGTGGGGCTACTGGGGAAACCCTTAAAACCTTGAATGGGAGAACTTGGACCCCGAGTCCTGTCTAGAATGCCTGCAATCAGTTTCTCTTAATAAAGATGCCTGTTGGAAGAAAGATTCCAAGAGTTCTGTCTTAAGATGCAAAGTGGGGTGGGTCCTTACACCTACAATCACATGACCTCATTTTGGGCCCTTAGCAACTGGCCTGCATTTAGGGCTCTTTGCTGCCTCCAAGTCACATGACCATATTTTATGCTTTTTCTGGAAGTGTTCATTGTGGCTGTAAGTCAATGTATTACTACATGTAACACATGTAGTAATATATTGCCATTAACACAGTACTATTAAAATAACCAATGTCATTCAATGTTAATTTTTGAAATGTTTCCCCATACTCCAAACCCCATGAAATAAGGTTTCCATGCTTGCTTCTTAGAAAAGGCAGTTTCCAAGGCACTGAATAGAGATGGGACAATACCTTAGTGTACACACTATTGGTTGGGATGTAGTGATTATAGTGATCCACTCAGTCATTGAATGTCAGGTGGGGTGCAAGATTATTAAATTATTATTAAGGGAGAAAACACAGTTTCTAAATAAGCACAATTTAAGAAGAGGCAGACTCGTTCCAGCTTAGTCAAAAGAATTTATTAGAAAATATTCTGAACTACATAAAACTCTTTAGAATATTGTTTTCAATAGATTTTGTTCCAGCCCTATGCTACAGACACCAGAGTCTGGAGTTACATCAGCCACTGTGATCCTGATTTTAATTTTCCTATATTTAAAATTATAAAACATTTAAGCCACATGCACAGCAGAAGATTGGAATGAGTGATCAGTGCACCACTTATCTCTCCCTCCATACAATTTCAAGGAATATCAATTATTATTTTTTAATAGCAATTAAAGCAGTTGGATTTGTTTTGTTATTACTGAAATTCTTGCAATATACTACTAAGAAATAATTTTTTCAGTCAATAGTCACAGGAATATAAAAATAACTTGGCTATTCGGACTAATCCTGTATATTCCAGTGCCCTAATGAATTAACCAATTGAATTTCCTCTCTCTGTGAGTAGGACTGAAATCTTATTATAATGAGGAAATGTTCTTAAGCTTGGTTACAAGCTTTCCCCGTATATTTGTGGTAAGGCCATTGTTGTTTTAATTAAAAAAAATAGTATAGATTGGCTAAATTCAGTCATATATATATATATATATACACACTTCATAAAGATGTCCAGCAAGAATCAGCATTTCAGTACTGACAAAATGATCAGAAAAGGGAAAAAAATGCTTGATGTAATCACTGCCCCAAGTGACCAGCCCCAGAAATACTTCAAGCAAAGCATGCTGACTTATGCTTGCAGTATTTAATCCAAAAATAGATGCATCTTGAAATAACAACTACAAATTACCTCCATTCACTGTCAGGTGAAGGGCTTGTCACAAGTCACAAACAAACAAACATCTTTCAATTCAGTGATGTGTGCCCGAACCATCATTAAAAGGCTGCATATTAGGGAATTTTAAAAAATATTTAAGGAAACCAACCAACAGCATGCTAGTCAATATCACTTTTAATTCAGTTTGGAAATTCAGTGAAGGTTTGCTACAAGTCTGCTGCTATTATACTGAAGAGATATGGGAATAAAACATTAAGCAAACTTCCTAATCCATCATCTCACCGGTAATAACAATAATAATGAAGATTGTCTCAACCTCAACAGGAATCTTCTTCCTCCTCTTATCAGCACTGAACTGGATCCCTATTATTTTTGCATCAAGAAGAAAATTAACTCCATGGTTAAACATAGATTTTTAAAGTCTGATCTGTGAATATTATATCTTATACAGACAAAAGAGATATATCAGCAAAGAAAAATTAAGAATGAGCACACAAGTCTGAGAAATTTCATGAATTTCTGAAGTAGACCTAAATTCAGAAACATTGAGAAAATAACACACATGCACCAAACCAACATATAATATATCTACTATCAATTCCCATCCCATCTTAAATGGTTGAGAAATACACGTAATTATAAAATGCAAATTGTGAGTTTAAACAAAATTGCATTCTACAGACTTTGTAAAGTGTCAGCAGCCAGTTTATACTGAAAATTAGCACATATGCTACTCTAACAAAAACTCTTTTCAGGAGACTAAACATAGCACTTGATTGTAAATAAAAACAATATCCACACTAATGAACCTGTAAGATAAATATTATCTTTAGTTATATAAACAATATAGGCAAAGAGTTCACCCTCTGAAATAGAATGTGAATTGATAACTGTGATAGTGCTCTGCTTTAACTTTCTGAGTGACCCCTTTGTCTTGGGTTTTTTGTGTAATATATTAACGGGTTGGTTCTCCAAAGGTGAAGCACTAGGTTAAAATCTACACTACACCTTTCAGAACTATATTGGGATTTAACACTCGCAAATCCTCAAGAGGAGAAATGAAAAGACAACATATAGACACTGAGACAATTTTAAAACATTTACTATGGTTTAAAAGAGTGGCAAGAAAATCAAAGAAAAATCTACTCCAGTCTTTTACTATCCTGCCCAAAATTCTGTATTCTTTCAGATTGTGTGAATCAAAAATGCTGTACATGTGGCATTCAACAAACTGTATTATTAATTGGGAATGGTGGGAGTGGGGGTGGTGTCTTTTATTCCTTTTATTTTCTTTTTACATAGCTTTTTTGCAAAAGAATAAAGTTGAAGCATTAATCTATATTTATTTATAAGAAAACATTATACACTATATTGAAAAATAATCTTATCAAAATCAGATTTCAGCACTATTTCTAATTAAAAGTTCAAGTCAAAATTGCACTTTGCAGTCATCCTGATGGCATTTTTTCATTCTGGATTTATTTTCTTTCCACAGAAAGCGTTTCATCTGGATTTTTCTTTCGCGAATGTTTGTATTTGTCCACATAAGCTTTTACCAGATTTGCTACTTTTGCAGAATTAACTTCCCCACTTTTGCTATGACAAACCTAAATGAAAAATTGAAAAAGAAAAGTTAAAAATATTATTTAATCTATGTTATTGTGGGTACAAATGAAGGTAGTAATTCCTAGTTTGATGGCCATTGCATGTCAGGCTCCAACAAAACCAAGAATGATGCTGGAAAAATTCTACATCAGAGTTCCCCAACCTTTCCAGTTTTATGAACTGGTGGGGAAGGGGGGGAATGATTCCGTGACAGCATCCAGCAAGCACACACACATGCAGCTCCATTTGCGTGAGTGGCAGGCAGGCACGCCTGCTACTTGTGCAAATGGAGTGTGCATGCATGCATTCACCCGCTGCTCGCGCAAGTGTAGCACATGATACTTCTGCGTCCTGGTTCTGAACAGCTTACGGCCAATAATGGGCTGCGGCCTGGAGGTTGGGGACACGTTCTATATAATTCTGAACAAATATAATCCAGAAAAAAAAAATCATGCTGGAAGGTTGGAATGAGATGAGATAACGCCAAATATGTAATTACACTATTCACAGATCCAAGAATGAATGAGAACGTTGATTTTGATGAGCATCTGCTTAGGAAAAAGTTTATTTCAAATACATGGGATATGTATGTGTGTGTTGCATGTACGTATACACACATGCACAAACACACACATATATACACACACGAACATATGCATATGTCGGAAATAAATGAATCAAAAGCACAACTGATCTGATTATTTATGACAGACACAGTATGAGACACAAATGTGGCAAGAGTCTCTTAATGTGAGATGGACAATCTTTGGTAGTCTCAAGATTGAATTATGGAGAAAAATAGACATGGAAGAAAAGAAAAAGTAAAACAAGAGTAGGAGCAGAATTAGGTTCAGGAAGAGAAATTATATAAAAAGCATTAGAAGATAAGAATGGACATAAATACAAATTATGAAATCTGCTTGGAAAAAATGATAAGAAATATGTTACAAATTGGGAAAGAAATCTTTCAGGTTACACTGAGCTTGGAAAAATGTATATAAGAGAATGCTGCAAAACTAAGGATGAGAGAAAATACAGCATAAAGATAAAATAGTTACAAAAAAGGAAGTCAAGGAGGAACAGGGTTAAGATTAAATGAGATGGAATTCAGAATCATTTTGATGATACAATTTTGAAGAACTATTTTGGAAGTGGCCAAGGAAAACTAAAAAAATTATTTCCAATAGTGAATACAATTAAAAAAATTGAATGAAACTGCAGTTAGGGAATGCTGGAAGTATATTTTAGAGATTTGTATAGAAATGAGAAATTATATATTAAACAGTGAAATTGAATGCTATAAATATTAGTATTTAAAAATATTATGAAAAGGAAAATAATATGTTGATAAATGGCAAGGATGCAGATGTACAGTAGATAGTGCAGTTGCTTATGGAGTGGCTGTCCAATTTGTTTAAAGATTATATATGTGACCTTTGGAAGAATGCTTCCCTTATAACTAAGTGAAAGACAGTAAATCTGCAAAACTGCAGAGGGATTAGTTTGTTTCAATTGCCTCGAAAAGTGCAGCCTAGCCATCTTTGCTTTCCTTAAAGCTTGCTGCCAGCTGCCATGGAAATGGTGTGGGTGTGTGTGTGTGGGGGGAAGCAATGGATATTTGGGAGGGGAAAACTAGAATTTCTGAGAAACGATGGGGAGGCCTGGACTTAGAGACACCAGCTTGGGTTGTTTAACATCTTCAAGGCCAACCATCCTGGGAAAGGCATGCATGTTGGAGCAGCGATGCACCTGGATCAGAGATGTTTGCAAAACATCTTCCTGGCCGATAACTGAATTCTAATTGCTTAGCTACTGAGGGGGTGGGCTCTGGGGTTAGTTTCAATTTGTCTCTTCACATACATTTTGCTTTAGACCTTGCTGGCTTTTGCTGAAATCACTTCTTTCCTAGTAAAATTACCTTTTCTCTGAATCTATGGAGTCAAGGGTTTTCTTTCCTAGGATTAATAAGAGGCAGCCCTGACACTGGCAAGGTCTGCTTTAAGTCAACCCGGAGACTGTAATCTACTGTGGGGACCGAGCATCTAAATGTCCAGCTATGAGAACGAATGGAGACTAGGGCCCTGGGCAGGACCCCTCCTAGACTGTGCCGTGTTCAAGATGAAGTGAAATGGCTGGAAGAGTTAGACATCGACGAGGAGCTTGTCAGGCCCAGATGGTTGTTGAGCATGGGGCAAAACGAAGATCAGAGGTTTCCAAAGGCAGGAGTGGTGTGAGGGGGACAGAGGTGAAGTCCTCCCTCTGGATGTGGACCCAGAGGATGCCATGCTGAGCCATGAGTCATGCCTTGTACCTGTTGCAAGAGACAATCAAGAATAGGAGAGCCCGGGAAACTCTCACTCATATGACCACTCAGGCTCCTTGAATTACCCCAAGCCAAGCTGTGGACGAAGCTGTTGTGCCAGTGGTCAGGGCAGCAGTTGCACCTGCTCCACCTGGACTGGCGCCAGTACCAGCAATGCCAGCACCAGCTGTTGCACAAGGCCTTCTCCCTGCAGGAGCTATCCCTAGGAGATGCCATGGCCCGAAGGTCCCAGCCCCAGGAATAAAGTACAGGGGAGACCCCAATCAACTAGAGTACTTTCTCGTGCAAGTCTGGAATTACATGCAGGAGTATGGGGCTGAATTGGGAACAGAGGCAGTGTAAGATGGGTGACCATGGCTCTTGAGGGTGCAGCCACCAAATGGATGGTCTCCCTCCACAATGATAACATCCCCCAGCTTTGGAACTACAACTTTATGACAGCCCTTCGCCAACAGTTCGAGGACCCATTGGCAGAATGCAAGGCTCGGACCTGGATAAAGACTATCATCCAAGGTCGGTGGCTGCGTACACCCAGGAGTTCCAAGAGTGGGTGTGCCGGCTAGCCATATGGCTTGAAGACATGCTGATCGTTTGCTTCAAAGATGGCCTCAAAAATGTCTATCACAGCTGCATCTCGTGTGGGGCCTCACACACCCTACAACACTGTTATGTGCTGGTGGATGAAGTAGAGATCCACCTAGTCCTAGCCTGGGACCTAGCCCAAGACTGACACTATGTTGGCTGCAGATGGCACAAATCCTCCTCCCCGGTCATAAGGAAACCCCGAAGTCAGCAAAGGGTGAATCCAGGCCAAGACCACAATCCATTGTGTGCTTCAAGTGTGGGAAGGAGGGGCACCAAGCCGTGGAGTGCCAATCCACTAAGCCCAGTCTCAAAGCAGCAGTGATCCTGGGGAGAAAGGCAGAGAAGCCAATTCCAAGACCTGTGAGACACCACTGAAAGGAAAGGAGGTCCTGATTATGAGGAGCTGGGAGTGAAACCGACTCCGATGATGACCCCTTAGTAAGTCGACACATAATCGCCATAACCATTCCTGTGGAACTAGTGGTGTCCTCATGAGGGACCCATGGGAGGAGGTTGGCTCTACTGGACTCAGGTTGCACCAGGTTTGTGGTTAGCCCTCAGGTGGTGGAAAAGTTGGAACTAAGACTCAAGCAGCTGAAGGTGTCAATCATTTTTTGCCAAGTGGATGGGATAGTAGCTGGGGGTGGGGGCAGATCATTTTATAACTGAGCCAGTGGAAATGAGAATGGGAAAGCACAAATTGAGTTTTATAGTTGCATAGTCCTGCTTGGACTGTTGGTTTCAGAAATGGAACCCTTATATGAACTGAAGGAGCGAGCTCTTAAAAATCTGGCATAGGGCGGCCAAAAAAGGAGAAGAGATTCCAATGCTTAGAGGCAAAAAAACCAAAGAACCAGGGGACAGTCGCACAAGAGCACCCAAAAACTGAGCCCAGAATCTCCAAGGAATACTGGGACCTACGTGATGTGTTTAGTGAGAAGTGCTCCGATGCGCTCCCGCCTCCTTGTATTGAAATCCTTCCTGGGACTAAACTCCCAAAACCTAAGCTTTACTCAACTCCATGAGAGCTTGAAGAGCTTTGCGCTTTCATAGATTAAAAACTTAAAATGGGAATTTATTCAACTGGCTAGACCGCGGATAGCAGCCCTGGTATTGTTCCAGGAGAAAAAAGATGGAACTCTTCATCTGTGCATTGACAATAGAGGATTAAACTCGGTGTTCGTAGAAAATGTTTACCCATTGCCCTTGATGAAGGATACGCTTGTATATCTAGCCAAAGGCAAAAATCTTCACTAGATTAGATCTGCAGGAGGCTTACTACTGGGTTCAGATCAAGGAGGGCGATAAATGGAAATTGCCTTCAACTGCCCTCTGGGATGTTTTCAGTTCCAAGTACTCCCCTTTAGTCTGCAGGGGGCCCCAGCTGTGTTCATGCAACTGATCAATGGGGAGTTGTATGACTACTTGTACAAGGGGAAGTTGGTGTATTTGGTGATATTTTAATATATACTGAGACTATGGAAGAACATGTGAAATTGGTCTGGGCAATCCTAAAAAGACTCTGAGCAACCGAATTGTATGCAAGGCTTTCTAAATGTAAATTTCACCAAGATAAGATTGATTACCTGAGTTATCATATATCTAATGAAGGAGTAGAAATGGACACAGAAAAGGGCAGTGTTAGAGTGGGCCCCTCCCCACACCAGGAAGCAATTAGAAGTTTCTAGGCTTTGCCAATTTCTACTGACAATTCATCCCTTCATTCACAAAAATCATGTTATCAATCACCAACCTTTTAAAAACTAAGGGCTGAAGCCTAGTCAGTCACTTAAGTGGACTGTGGAGTACCAAGTGGTGATCAAAAAACTCAATAGCTATTTGAAGCAGAGCCCATGCTAAAGCGCCCAGACCTAACTTCTCCCTTTGTAATTCAGGCAGACGCAAGTGATATAGCCATGGGGCTGTACTGTTTCAAGAGAATGCCCAGGGCCTGCAACAACCCTGAGAGTACACGTCTAAAAAACTTACTGAAACTGAACAGAGATGGGCAGTATGGGAGAAGGAGGCATATGCTTACTTGGCGGCATTTCCTAGAGGGGGCGAACAATGTTCGAAGGTGTGAACTGACCATAA